TTTTTCTTGTTGAATTTTATCACTTAATTTTATTTCTTTAATTTCTTTCATCAATGTTTTATTGTTTCTACCCTAAAATCAAAGTCTGGAAAATATATAAAAAAAAAAAATGAATAAAAAATGTTTTATTGTTTCCAGTGTAGAGATCTTTTATCTCCTTGATTAAATTTATTCCTAAATATATTTTTAGCAGATACTGTAAATGAGATTGTTTCCTTGATTTCTTTTTCAGATAATTCATTGTTAGTATACAGAAAAGCTACTAATTTTTGTATGCTGATTTTGTATTCTACAACTTTAATGTATTTGTTTATTAGTTCTAACAGTTTTTAGGTGGAGTACTTAGGGTTTTCTATATATAAAGTCATGTCATCTGCAAATAAGGGCAATTTAACTTCTTCCTTTCCAATTTAGATGCCTTTTATTTCTTTGTCAGTAATTCTTGATCTGTTTTATCCTAAAATATTGCTTCTGCCTTCACTTATTCCTGTCTATACCTTTCCCCTCTCAACTCACTCAAGTTTTCCTAAAGTGGCATAGGAATTTGCTCTTTGGCACTGAAGTGAATAAATCCTCCTTAAGCTGGCATGTGAATGAATATTCCATCACTTTCTATACCTTTATGTGAGAGCTATCATCAACTACTTCTGTTTTATCAATTCTAAGAAATTTTAGTTCTTTGAAGTATTTTAATGTGGTTTTTATAAAATACAAAAAAGATAGTCATAAAATTATACAGTTGTGTCGGGAAAGAATAAAAGATCAAAATTTCTGTGCAAGAATGATTTCAGCCCTAAACCCTCCTGCCTATTCAAAAAGGATACCCATAAAACTAGCTTTGTCACGAGAAGAAAAGATGATTCCACTTTCTTTGGGATGGTAAACTCTGACCCTAAAGTGATGCAGTGCTAACCAGATAGCCTATTTCTGTCCCTTTTATCCATAAATTTCAAAGTATAAATGAAAGGAAGGTGATATTTTGGGCCTCTTCTGGGTTAGGTGGAGGGACAACAGAAGCCAGAAAATTTAAGAGGCTTGTTCATTGTTAGGCATAAAAGCAGAGGATGAAAGAATACTGTTGGTCTGGCTCATTCTGGACTTTTCTTGTAAAATGGCCAAATCAGCCCCCTGATTGAAGAGACTCGCTCAGGCTTCAGTGAGGCTGGACATGACTTCCGTGCTATTCACGTATGAGCATCTAAGGCCAGGCTTGGGCTTTACAATAGCTTGAGACAAACATTAATTGAGTCAAAAGTTCACCTTCCTCAGAAGGATTACCTATTGAGCTTTTCACTCCATTTTCCTACCATACATTAAAGTTTATGAGACGATACAGAACTTCTGTATCAAGATGATGATCTGTATTTTTAGAAATATCATGAGTACACCGCATATACAATATATATATATATATAAATATATATATATATTTTTTTTCCTCAAAGAGCCTAGGCACTAAGGCTGTGGGAAATGGCCATTTCTTGCCAAAGCCAATAATGGAAGGAGATTCACAAAGAGAAGATTCCTGTGTGTATAAAAGTCTTGGGACATGTTCTTCATGATTGCCAAAGCCTATCAGCAGGTTTACTAACTGGACAGGTATTACCCAGGGCTCTGACACCTCCAAAAGATGCCTACAGCATTTGCAAACGTCTCTGTAGCCCTGAGGAAGACTTCACAAGCTCTTTGCCCACCTGTCTACCATTCTCCACTGAGACACAGGCAGCTGGTCACTGCTAAGTAAAAATCTTTTCCTGAGAAAGTTTACCATTTAAAGAAATGGTAAAGAAGAAAACTGTTAATATTTATCAACTGGCTCTGATGAAGTCATTAGAAACTCTCCAAAGCCAAAGCTCAGAAGGTTTCTCAGCCAGACTTTTAATTTCTGACTCAGTCTAAACCACCTCAGCTGCACAATCTTAGATAACAATGGAATCGAGGGCCATAAGGAACCCATCTCCCCTTGCAAGTTTCAGTTACAATGATGACCATGAAGAAAGATGGATTCATTAGAGGTGTGACATCCCATTCAAATACTCTTGGGCTTCTCCCAAACTCAGCCCCCCATTTGAGAGTTTAACTTGGATTTTGGGGAACTGTGGACCTGGTTCAGTGACCTGACCTCTTCATCAGCCCTGGACAATCTTTAAGGGGCAGGAAAGCACCTCCACCCCCCTGCTCACGTGACATTGGCATCTGCCAAGATGGTGTCTCTGGAGGGGAAGTAGCCTGACTGGGCACAGGAATGATATATATTAGTCCAGGATTCACTAAGCAGTAAGAGAAGTCATTGAGAAATGATGACTTAGAGACAACACTACAAGCAGAGATACAGGAACTTGGAGAGAAAAGGATAGTCATCTTTTTAATGAAGGCTACTTTACTGAAATTGATTTTGGATGTCTGTTCACCGAGTTTGACAAATGAAGCAAAATCCATACTGGTTCCCAGGGGCAGGCACTTGCTCTTGGGAATATTGATGCTTTCTTCACACTCAGTACTTTTATTTTAACCCAAATCAGTTCACTCCTGGGGGTGGGGGGGGAAGGCATTTTATTTCTACAGAAAACAAGATGGAGTCACAGAAAGGTCTATTGGCAGCGTGGGAAAAGCCACAGCCGGCCCGACCCCGGGGTGTTTGGAGGACATCCCTACCTGAGTGAGTGTAACACCTTAAATGGTCAATGACAGTACTATGGGCTTCCATAATGCTTACCTAAGGGTCTCATCCAGAAGAAGGAAATTTTAACCTTGGCTTTAAAATTCCAGTTCTTCAATCTGCTTTATTTCCTCACAAGTTATTCTCCTGAATCTGGACTAGAAAACGGTTTGCTGCACTTGCAATTCTTTGTCACCCAGAACCCCAGTTTCCTGAGGAATCAGATCTCAGGACGTTTGGAATTACCAAATCTCGATCATTGAATAGAGTTGAGCTGAAAGTACTCTACTATGTTTAGATTTTCTTCTTCTTCTTTTTAAATTGAGAATGCTAAGATATTCCCATCAGAGCAGCAATAGAGTCTGGAAGGTAAGTGATCCGTCAGTGGACAAGGATGTGCGTTCCAGATCTGCCGCTCACTGGCTGTGCTACCTTGGGCAAGTTAATTAACCTCTCAGAGCCCAGGTTTTATTTTTGTAAAATAGAGACAATGGTATCACCGACTTTAGGGAGCTGATATCAACAATGATAATACTTAATATTTATTGACCATGTACAATGCAAAATATTTTCTAAGATTTGTATATATTATCTCATTTAATGATCACAATATCTCATTGAATTGGATGCTACTATCATCCTCATTTTATACAGACGAGGAAACAAACTCAGAGGAATCACAATCATGTTTAAGCCAAAATTTAAATGCAACCCTTGAGGGGCATATTGTGAACTACTACATACAGTGCAAATTAATTGATAATAAAAATGCTTAGCATAGTGACTGAAATATAATAAAAACTCAATATAAGTTTTGGTATCATTAATGTTAAAATAGCATTAATGAATATAATAGAATTTTAAAAAATATTAGGGCCTATGAAATATTTAGTGTGAGAGATTCTATTTTGTTAATCAGCAGTTTAATAAACTCTTTGAGGGCAGACAGTGAGATTCACTTACTTTTGTAACAGATTCTTGTACAGCATTTATGGCAAAGGGGCTCTATGGATATCTGTTGACCAAATAATGATTCCACTTGGGATCACCAATACTACAAAGAAAAGCTGACTCAAGACATGTTCAACTTGTCTAAGCAAAAACATACCTAGAACACAAATTGATGCCACCATTTGGCCTCCTATACTATAAGTTTGTTCCTTATTAGTGACAAGTTCTCATAGCACTATTATCTTTAGAAAATACAGAATACACAGAATCATGTTGTATTTTGTCCTTATTTAATAGTATTTATGAAGCAATAGTCTCCTTCCCAAACTGTGCTGACTAAAGACACAGAAAATTAAAGGTTGCTTTCCCTTAATTGAGTCAAAACAAGATGCTGCAAAGTCCTAAGAAAGCTGCTAGGTATTTTGGAGAATCAAAGATTATGAAATTTATTTCTACTTTTAAAATTTCCAATGCAATATCATAAATAAAAATAATAATTTCCTCATAACATTTTGGTTTATGACACTGCCTTTTAGAAAGGTTCCTTCTTCTTCTATAAGAATAAATTCCCTAATAACTTCTATAAGTTCTATAAGACAGAACTTTTCTAAAAGGCAGTATCATAAACCAAAATGTTAATTTTAGGGAACTTACTAAGATCTCTATTTTAAAAATGAGAAACTCTGGATTCAAAAAAGCTCATGACTTGCTCAAGGTCACTCAACCAATGAATGGCAGAACCAAGACTGTGTCTCCTGATTCAGTGACATTTTCAAGCATCTGAAAAGAAAGGTGGCCTTGGAAAGATGACACTTGAATAAGCAAGAGAACAGACAAGCTTCAGCATAGTTCAAATATTCAGAGCCAAGTGGCATTATGTAATCACACACATTAGAACATTCTTTATAACTTTCAAATCACTTTTTTTTCTCAAGGACAAATTTCCTTGAGATTGTTCCCGTTTTTAAATGAAAGACAAAAGTGAACGAGAGAAGAAAAAGTTATTTGCAACCATGCTTCTGAACATCATGATTTTATGCAAATCAACAAATATTTCTAGAAAAGTAGTATCACTGTGTTTAATAAAACATATTCAGAAAAAAATGTAGCGGTGAATTATTACTGCTCAAATCCTGAATATATTCAATATTTCACATTTAAACTGTAAAGTCTGCCACTGGAGGTAAAACATGGTAAACTAGAGTACACGTGCACAAACTCGATCTCACCCGACCTTGTGTGTGGCGGGTTTTAAAGCTGTGGTAATAAAAACCTTTGCTCCATAAAGATCTAATGGTTACACACACAGAGGGCTGTTTTTCTCTGGAACTATCGATGTTGGTGACAGAGGGTAAGGTCTCGTAAAGAGGAAATCACGTGCAGTAATTACCTAGGCATGTAAAGGACTCTCTCCGCCACCACAAAGCCCACCCTGAAGAAGAGGTTGCTGGCTGGGATGAACGGGAACACCAGGAACAACAAGCCCACTAACACCTCCTTGTGCTCCAGTCTCTGAAACACACAAGAGTGAAGGACACATTAATTCTTGCTTCATTCCACTTCAGGCAGCGTTTAACCACCTCCTTCCTTCATTTTCAAGTTCTCAAGGAAGGAATGAATAAATGAGACCAACAGAAACCTTTTCACCAGTGTGCTGAATTTAACACGAAAAGCCCGAAGGCTAACATCGCTGGCACACCAAAACACACAGACCCCTGACACACATTTGCCACCCAGAAAAATAAGATATTGGCACAATATGGTGGTCGACCATCATTACTTGTTATTCTGGGCTGGCCCTATAACGACCCTACTTTTTGGTCCTGGAAACTTTCAGAGTCACTGTCTTCTTCCCAGACACCTTGTTTCCAGGAAGCAGAGCAGTTGGATAAAGTCAAACACAGTAAGACGTCGCGGAGAATTTAATTAGTGTTTTCTCGGAAATCAAATGCATTTTTTTAAAAAAAAAGTTCACCACGAGAAGCAAAGATTATTTATTATTTAATAAAGAAAATTAAATGCTAATAAGATTTGGGACACAAATGAAGGGGCGGCATTTGAGCTGAAGAAGATCATTAGGCTAATAAACAAGTATTTATTCCATGAATTTTTTGGAATAAAAAATCATTACAATAACTCATTAAATTGACAAAGAACCTTATTCTGATATTGTATATATTAATCTATAAAGATTTTTATCACACATTATAATTAACATAAAAACTTCTATTTATTGCTAATAATATGTTGTAATGAGCATTGTAAAAAATAGTTTGTATTTCTTTGTGTATATGTGGTGTAGACACATTTGAAGAGAGTTCTGTTTAAAACAGACCTTATTGTGTTGGATAATTTTTTTTTTAAGTTTAAGAAGCAAAGCAAGTAGAACTTTCCATATTATAATTTTTAATGTTTCCCATAAACATTTTAAATAGTCTACTTTTAATAATTAGAAAAGTAAACAAGAGAATTTTGCAAATATACATAAAACTCCCTAATAGAAGCTACAAATACTTTAAATACACAAAGTAAAAGATTTTAAATATCTTGGGATATTTGTCACCTGGATTTTATTAAAAACTTTATTTTACTAACTATAGAATATAGAGTAATAAATTTCTGAGAGCAAGTCCATATGATTCATATAGTTTCTCTTAAATGATTAATTGTTCTATAAGTAATGATCTCACTTTTTACCTAAAGGAAACACAGAATTAAGAGAAGGGAGGAATAAAAAGTAACATAACAAGCCTTCAACTCAAGTGGAGGCATGAGGATGTTACAATTCTATGATGAACCAAAATTGACCAAAAAAAGTTAAAACAAGGAGCAAGTTCATTTTATTTAAAAGCTGCAAGCTATCTTTGTAATTTACATTATGCTTTGCATTTACAAAGCACACTTCAGTTTGAGGATTTAAAGTATATAATTTTTTTTTAAAAAAACCTCTTCACAAGAATCCTGTAATGTCAAGAGCAAGTACTTCTTGCTGACATAGAAAATAAACCCCAAAGTATTAATATCAGTGTCTTGTCACGCATTCCTCATTAACTCTGAGCCTATTATTAAGTAGTACGTTGACGTTCTCTTTTTATAGGTGCATTTTTATATTTTAGAGATAACTGGTTACTTCTTTTGACTCTTCAAAAGCTGAACTATTTTTGCAAAAGCATTCACGTGTTTTCCCTAAGATATTTCTGCAGAGAATGTAACGCCTCCTATTATTATAATTCATCCTGAGAATTAAGAGTGCAGGTATAAACAGAACTCCGATCAGGCCGTTATCCGTGTTCCTGGATAGTGCTTTATCCAAGTATCCCCTGCCCCTCATCAAGGTTATTAGAGAGCAGCCCTCACTGGGGATCTGAGACAGCCATCCCCGATATCATTTCCCAATATCACACCTTCTGCCTGACCAAACCTGCCTGAGTTAAAGGGGGGTCCCCTGACTCAACAGAGCCCCAACTGCCAAGCTACCACCAGGTTGGGAGGCACCTTCATCCTTGAGGTGGGTGTCAGGTATGAACAAACATCACCCTCCCTGTCTCCTTCTCACCCACCGTGCCCTTACAGTGGGCAGGAACCCCAATGCTGGGGACATGGAGATGGGGGGAGGGTCAAGGAGCATCCATCAGCCTTCCCCAGAAGACGGATGTGAGAACTGGAAAACCACGGTGCGGTGCGCTCATCTGTTCCTCCCCCAGGTTCTTCAGGTACCAGGCACAGTTGTTATTTCCTTCATGAAAATCATCCCAGTTGTGATTACACATTTATCCGTGTGTTTACTGTCTTTAACGTCTGTCTGTCCCAGTGGCCCGTGAGCTCCAGGAGGGCAGGGGACTCGTCAGCGGTGTTCACTGCCGCCTGACTTGTGCTGAGCTCAGTGCCGGGTGCGGGTATTTGCTGAATAAATCAATCAAGTGAACAAATGTACCAGGCAAGAGCGAAAACTGAGTGGAAGAAACGGAGCAGGTACAGAGGGCTTCCCGGTAGAGGTGACCCCCTGGACTTGAAAAATAAATAAATGCTTCCAAGGCAGACACATTTGGGCGTGAGGAGGTGGTCACAGCTAGGCATACTCGTAGGAGAAGACACAGCAGGGAGTAAGAGTGGACATGTCGGCAGGTGACAGATCACGAGGGTCTGGTATGCCCTGCTGCAGAAGTGACCTTCACCATAGGCAATGGAGAGCTGCTAACGGGTCCCTTGTGCACAGAAAGAAAACCGAGTGAGTGTTAGGGGTGGATGTCTAGACTCAGATTGCAGTCCTGCCACCAATACACCGTTGGTCGCCTTGGGCAGAGTTATTATCCCGTCTGTCCTCAAGGAGCCACAGCTACAAGGTGAGACTCAGGGTTGAGTGGGGTTGGGTCATTATAAAGATTTCCTGAGCACCAAAGGTCCATGTTATAGGAGTCGTGAGCTGCGAGCTTGGAGGACACCACCCCGTACTGCTACCAGAGGGGCTGGCCTTACGGGGTGGTTTTTTTTGTGTGTGTTTTAAAACAGTAAATTGAGGAGAGTGGCACAGTGACCAAACTCAGTGAACACTCAGTTTTATTATTTTATTTGATTTTGCGAAAACTAATATTCATGAAAAAATTCTTTATTTTAAAATTAAATTGATGACAATACTCTTTGTCTTTCCTCTTCCCCACTCAGTCAAGAGAGATTAGAGATGTTCAAGAACGTATTTCTTTAAATAGCAAGTCAATCTGGCAAACAGAAATTTGCAAAGCTAGGAAAAAAAATATATCATGGACATGGCTAAATTTCCTAGGATGAGAAAGACGGGGAGGAAACCCAATTCTGTTTCCCGTGGATCACCGATGTGACAATACTGGCTAAATAATTTATAGCTTCTTTCAGCCTAATAGATTCAGATGAAACTAAAACAAAATATAAGGGGGGAAAAAAGAAAATCTAAAGTTGTTACTAAAGTATACATAGGGCATTCATTTAGGGAAAAAGACAAATAGAAATTTACTTATTCCAAAATAAATTAGGGAGAGAAGAGACATGGGAATTAAGAGGGGTAATAATACAGCCTTATAATATATATTATTTGTCTGATGAACTGTGCAACTTCAGGCAAGTTCATTTACTTCTCTGGGCTTTAATCTGATGATTAGTTAGACAAAGGAAAGAGTACTGCTATCCATTGTATCTGTAGGAAAAATATGTGATAGATTCAACTATTATAGGTCTCAGGTTTGACTTTTCTTTTCTGGTTTGGGAGGAGTACAGAAGAGCATCCCTTTAAGCTGCAGGAAGGGAAAAATCCTGTATTAACACCCTGTTAGGGTGCTCAGAGAGTCACTTGGCCACCACGGGCACAGCCTCACATCTGGCCAAGCAGCGAAGGGAAAAGCAGGGACTTTTCTCAGAACCACAAACTGCCCCGGAGGAAACCTAGCTGCTCTAGGACTCAAGTGCAATTCTGGTTTATCCTCTCCCCTTTTTACTCTCAGTTCACCTTTCAAAGTGCAGGTCACAGATGAAGACTCACACGCCCATGCGTGCACTCTGTCTAGCAGTGTGTGGGTGAGTGAGTGTCAATGAAAAAAAGGACTCCTCCCTGCCCATTCAACAGCATTGCAGGCTGTTCCCTTCTGGAGAGGTGGAAAATAGACTTATTATAATAATGATTATCATCATCACTATTATATTTCTCCCCACCTCTAACACAAGTTTCAGAAAATTGGCACACTGCGTTTATGGCATGAGTGTGTTCGCATGGTTCTACGAACTACACAGCTATGTCTCAATCCTAAGGATTTATCTGGCAGCCCTAGGCTCTTGCTGTCTGCATCCAATTTATCAATCCACAGGGAAGCTGCTGACAGTAAAGCTCCCCCCCACTTCAGCTCTGGGATTAAGGCATCTGCCAAGCTGACAATTGGTAAGGCCGAATACTCACTAGGCTCTCCTTTTTATATCTGCGAATGGGTCTGCTTCCTCTGTTAGACTGTGGATTGATTTGCTGATGGCAGTCATCAAGGCACATTTAAATTTATCTAGGTGTCTGGCACAACACCCCTACTCTTGTCCATAGGAAATTTATCCTTGAGCCTCCACTTGAGAAAATCCAGGTCTCAGGTGTATTTAAAATACCATGAACTTCAAATCCACAAAGGCCCTTATGCCCACTCTGATGCTGTTGAGTGGATGATCATGCAGGCTGCATTGGATGGATGGGGAACTGATCTCATCTTCAACACCCTAACTCAGGAGCCAAGAACACTTTCACGACCAGAACGACCAAGTGCCAAGCTAGACGAAGAAGAACAGAGAGAGCCTGGCTGTTTGGGGCAACAGGGTCCTGCCTCCGTTCTAAAAAACGTACCTTTAACTCACTGGGTATCGCACACCGAGCCCTGAGCTGCCCTGTCGCCTATCAGACTCTCAGGGTTGTGCCTGTTTTCCTTTGAATTTTAACAGCCTCTCTCCCCTCCAGCTAGCTCTGTCTGGCAGTGGCCGGGTTCGCCTGTCTCTGGGCACAGTTCCCGTCT